CGCTGTCTCAGCATTCTTACATTTCATATAACATGTTTTAAAAGAAATTTCGTGATAGGATTAGATTCAAAGGTCTTTTCCACATATACATTCAAAAGGGATTTCGCGACCCTTGCCATTAAAAGAGCACATTAAATTACATGGGGACTGGAAGTCAGATGCCTATATGTTGTATTAAGAGTTACATTGGTCAGATAAAGTTAAATTTTTGAAAAAGATGTTTATTACTGTCAACGATAAATGTGGTAATGAAATTTAGTGCATTTTTCTTTCTCTTTTCATTTTCAGATATCAGCGTCTACATTCTATCAGATTCCATTGCTAAGAATATTGAAGGGATACATGGAACAGATATCCAGGAATTAACTTGTGTAGATTAACTGCTAAAATTAATACATTAAATCTGTTACGAACATTCATGCGGTACTAATGATATTCAGTCTTATTCAGCTGATGTGATTGAAAGATTGTTTTGTAACTTTATTACCAGAATTAGGGAGGTGTCTTAAACATATTATATCATAGTATTCTGCCTTGACCTTGTAATTAGGTTAAAGTCAGGGTTTGCAAATGCTTTGTAAACAAAACAATGTCAGTTTGTTTCCTTTTTTGGGGTCTTTATAGGTTTGATCTCCCTAGGAGAGAATTATTTGCTGTTTGAGATAAAGGTTTACATCTTAATTCTCAGGGAGATGCTGTGCTCAGATCAATACAGTTTTCATGTTTTGAAAAGCAAAAGTGCTATATATCAAGGGATAGTTACTGATATAATTGTCTTACTTTTTGTATAATAATTTTTTGCTTTCATAGTTATTTTCTGTGGTTATTTTGCCCTCATAAAAAAAGTATTTATGTTTCATTGGTTTCAGTACTGTATAACAATATTCATGTTATCAGTATGGCGTGATTTCTGAAGAATACGTTTTCTTCTTAGAAATTTATAAACCTGTGCTTTAGGCTTGAAAGAGTGACTTTATTCGGGTTTTTATTTGTGTGTCTTTATTGAATATTTGTTAAATTTTCTTTGCTTTGTATATCCTGTATGTATTGTCTATTATTCATATGTGTTTAATTACTGTAAAGCAATATGTTGATTTTGATTGGCTTAAAGTTTATTTCAACGATTGGTTATATATTATTTGCCTTTTATCGTCTGGGATGGGCGTCATTTGACATCTGCTTATTTACTGTTGTACATACAATTGCCGATATTATTTGTCAAAATTTGTAACTGTTTAATTTCATTCTATCGATATGTCTGTCTTTTAGACTTTTGATTGTTTCAATACATATTTAATCATTTATGATGTGTATGTTAGTTGTTCGTATTCTAGTCTATACTTTGATAAAAATCTGCTTATCTTTTATTTTGTGTTTTCTGTGTATGAGACAATTTAAAGTACATTGCATTTTTGATTAATCTTAAATCTTTTATTTACCGAAATAAAATAGTTTTTTATTGGTTTAAAATTAATTGTCATACTTTTTGACCCTTTCATTTTCTGTGTCAATGAATTTTTTTGTATTCCTCCGCGTTATTATAAATTCAGTTTTTAGACACTTTTTGTTCGATACAGATTTTTTAACCCTTTCTTCCGTCCCAGATATTTCAAAATTATTAAAATAGTTATTATTATATTTTTCTCTCCATTTGTAATTTAATATTTCTTTACTTTTTTAAGGGCATTTTTTTATCTCTGTTCATTTACTGTTGTACACATTTATAATTTGTCAAAATTTATAACTGTTTAATCATGTTCTGTCGATCAATCTGTTTATGAGACTTTTCGTTTGTTCCGTTACCTATTTAGTCATTTATGTTGTGTATATTAATTATTAATTGTTCATACTCGCGTCTATGCTCTGATTAAAGTCTGCTTATCGTATTTTCCGTATTTTTCTGTGTACTAGAAACAAAAACAAAAATACTCTTGACGGAAATGTTTCAGGATCGCTTCTGTAACATTGTTAGTCCGCTGTAAATGACGATCGAAAGCTCTGATAATTAAATTTTCCGGAAGGCCCTGTAACATATTTAATTTTGTCATGTTGGGCGTTCTTTAAGGATTCCGATTTTCTCTATATTGATGCCACTTCAAGAATGCATTGATCTGTGTTGTATAACCATCACTTCCAAATCATCATAGCAACAATTCTATTTGATTTCAAAGATATAGAGGATATTTGTTTAGTTCAGTGTAAGATCGGAATTTATTTCACCGAGTGAGCACCAAAAGGTATATTTGAAATATGAACTTTTGGTGTTCACAAGGTGAAATATATTTTCTTTTTATTATATGCAAAGAAACGTTTTAAAAAGACAATAAACCTAATACTGAATGTAAAGTGCGCCAAATAATAATACAGCGTGACGTCATTTACGACGTCACGTCATTAAGTTGGTACCCAGTACTGTGCACGCTGGTATTTCACTGAAACAATTTAAGGGGCTTAAATTCAAAACAGTGAAATTATCAAAGTGGTAATTTCACTGTTTCAAACAGTGAAATTACCAGTTTTATATCACTGATATATTTCTATAAACCACCGAAAAGCATATAATAAATGATGATATACATAAATTGGATAAGATTTGTTTGAATACATTGTTTTTTTTTAAACATGCATAATAGAACATCTGCGTAATATAGACAGACTGCCTTCTTCTAACATAATCTCAATATGGAATTAAACACTATTTTGAGATTACAAAAAAATGTACAATAATCATTTACATAACATATAAAATTAAAAAGTAAAATTAGTTGTCGCTAGCAGACTAAAAGTAAGTAAACAAATTTCGCGGAAAGAATGTTATCATTTTTTTTAAGAAAATGGTACAAAAGTAAATCATACCTTGCTAAATTCAATTTGTGGGTACCATATATCATTTAGCCTCACACGGAAGTAATTTGTCTTTCCGTAATTGTTAGGATCCCATTTAAGGACTTCATCAAATCATGTGATGATAAAGTATCCCATTATGACAATACTTTGTCCAGCTGTGTCAAAATCGACGATAGAATTAAGCGTAAATGAAGTGTTGACCTCTACAGTAGAAGATTGGTTGAGCCGAGGTCTAATTCTTATATCATAATCATCAAATAAATCCCGTAACAGTTCTTTGTACATTGTTATTGATGCGGAAGAATGACTTATTGAAGTTGGAAATTGCGCAATATATGAATGCAATTCGAACTGAATAATTAATACAATAAGTAACACTTTTATTTTTGCCATCATTTTAATTCTAAATTCTTTTTTGTCGAATATGTGTACGATCACAACGTATGATAGCTGACAATTAAATTCATATTAACATTTGAAAATGCTTAATAGCTATAAATCATCGAACATTTTATCTATTCCCTGTAGGGAAAATTTAAAAGCGATATTGTCTTTCATTTGTCACACTGCATAAATGAGCTACTTTTATCTTATTGTAAAATATTTGCCATGTTCTTTCAGACTTCCCTTTTGAGCAAATATTACAGACTGTCAGTTTTATATTAAACAATGCTGACATTTTAGCTTTTAATAGAGACTTTGATTTGACTGTACATTTGAATTGCTAAATCAATCCAACAAACAGTTTTTAACTACCTATTATAAGTGATTTGCCGTCTAGAGCACAGGTCAATCAATTTTCTTTAACCATTTTCACGCTAAATATCTAAAATGGACTTGTTCGTCTTTCTATCTGGTCAGATTGTTCATTTTCTTCGGGAAAATATAATTACTGACTGAAGAGCCGTGTCGGCTAATTTTGTTCTGCACTGTACTGGTTGCATAAGTAGAATGAGTTGCTGCCAGCAGGGTTGATGTTAAAACATTGGCCAGGTTTGCTTAAATAATTGGACATTGTTCCATCTTATTTGGCCTGTGCCATATTAATGTATGTAGACTTGTCTTTATTTTGTGGAAAAAAATTGCCATTTTCCGTATAGAAATATTAAAGAACTTTCCACACTAATTTTCATTAATTCCAAATTATAGTTATTTTCTTTAGTTAGTACCTAATTCATTTGTACTTTTATTGATATTTTAACTCATCAAGGACTATTCAAGTTTTCGTGGACATTATCACATAAATCTTGAGGCATAAAACGTAAAAGAATGATACATCTCTTGATCTCATTATTATTTGCAAATTGGAAAATGCCAAACGACATACAGCAAAATACATCTTATTTTATTATATTTCTTTTTTTTTTCACTAAACTTTAAGTGACATGTTTATGAATAATGTACGAAATTCATTGCAATTAGATATGATTTATTTGATTCGAACCATAATTGAAATTACGAAAAAGAAACAACAAAAACCAAAAACAAACACATAAAAGGCAACAAAAAATTAAACAAACAGAAATAGAAATAAAAAAAAACAAAAACAAAAACAGACGCCGGTTCGATATTAGGTGGGGCTTCTCCGTGAAAAACAACCTTAGACATTGAGTCTATGGATCATTGTTCTTTAACCTCGGCTGATTTAGAAATCATGTGAAATCTGTAGTCGGTCGCTTGAGAAATTTGTCATTTAATATACTTTTATGTTTAATGTCGATTGAAAATTAATAGCAGGTTAGGCAGATCGATCACTTAGCTGCTAAAGGAGTGTACACCGAGACGAAATGTCACCATCTAATTTGTAAAAGATCGGCGTAAAAACAGAAACGCAAACAAACATACAAGTACACGAATACATGAAAAATAAAGCTTTACAAAACAAGTACAAATGACAAAAATAAAACAATGATTATTAGACAACGGTATACAGCTACGTAACTGTTATGAAAAAAATGTATTCGGTAACATAAAACTTTAAAAAAGGTAGGTAGCATTCAAATATTTGAGATGGTTATGTATTATGTTTAATTAACAAACTTGTTTGCAATTCAGAGAAGAAATTTATGAACGCTTAGAAAATTGTATGTACTTGAGTACCATGCTGTAAACAAAATGATATCTGAATATGTATTCGATCTTATCAACGTTTTGAATTTTTGAAGAAAAAAAACTTTTGTTAATAGGTATTAAATTAAGCCTGTTGTATTTCAACTCTACATAACGTTCAATTTTGAAATAGTTGTTCCTTCATATATATATCAATTTCCTTGGATAACAAAAGTCCACACTACCAAACTAACAATGAAGACAAAAATTCCACTGGAAATGGTAGCTAAGACATCTGTACGTCCCATGACATCTGTCCAAGTGTCAATCTTTTTATCCAAACAAATCTTGTTTGAGTTGTCTTCTGTGTTATTCTCTGATGTAATCCTTTCTGCCGCCGATGTCTTAAATCGAAATCGCCAACATAAAACAAATGGATGCGTACCGATTGTGGAATATATCTTATATTCAATGATGACGTAGATGACAGTGAAAACACTAAGCATCAAGAGAATGGCTAGGTATAGAACGTAGAACGATACTTGTAACGAGTTATGAGGTAAACTGTCTCTTGTGATTGTAATAAAAAATCCGTAAGCTAGGAACAGAGTAATTGCGAGACTTCCCTTTTCACCGGATTCTATTGGTACGAGAAATGTAAAGACATTCAAAAGCGCTAAAGTAAATAAGGGGAGAATCATCGTGTACACAGTAAATTCTGCCCTTCTCTTGACTTTTATGTAGTTGTATACAAAACTTGTGTTAAAAAGTTCCATGGTCTTTGAAGATACCTCGAGAAGATACCATTCTGAATTTTCCATAAACTCGCCGACTTTGACTTCATGGCCACTGAAGTTGACAGAGGTAACATCCTCATCGGAAACGTACAATATAAGCTCACATGTTTGTGTATCGAATGGATAGTATCTTACTGAAACTTTACACATAAACCTAAAGAGAGAAACAAATAGCGAATTTAATGATAATAATAAAAACCGTTAAAAAAGAGATAATGATAATTCTTTTATGATTTTGTCTATCGTTTTAAGAGTCTAAAATGTTTAACTGAGCAGCATTGCCGAGAATTTTTAGAATATAGAATGTGATTTTACTTAATAAAAGGTCTTTAACGGAAAATCTACTGGAACCGAATGTAGCCAGTATCAACATTATAGATCCAGGCTAGTCTACACATCTGTGCACGTTAAACCAGGCCCTATACTGATGGCGTACCTACTCCAAATTTTCATCTTGATAGCCCAAACTTTTATAATGAATAGGCCCTCCAACAAATCAACTGGTATTGACAGGTTATTGAAGGTCTTGAAACAAACGATTATATATTGTTCGATCTAAAAAAAAACAATTTCATAGCTTATAGCTTATTAACATTTCGAAGAAAATTTGATCACAGGGCCATCGATAGCTTCATGAAACTCATCTGGAAGTATATTATCTTTACAATATACTCGTATGATTGACATTATTTTCTTGCATATCAGACAAGATCTACTGCTCACACTGATTCTAGAAAAAGCATGTCTTACACAACCCGTATAAGGCAAGTTGCGTGCTTAAAATGACGTCATTTCCGCGCGCATTTTCTAAATGAATTTCTTTCTTTAAATGAAGTGATTTTGCAGTGTTATAAGTGAAATTGTAAATTCATAAGCTACTTTAAGGAAAACGTTCGACATGAAAATATTAGTTTTCGGAATTCCTTTTCGAACTATTATTAATATATGCTAAAAGACGGACTGTCGTCACAAACGGGTATATCTAGTTCTCAAGTAACTGTTCAACGGAAACACGACAGAGCCTCGTTACCGTTGTTAACAGTTATCCTCGAGCTATAGATATTCTGGTCTGAACCGGTAGGAGGTGTAAAAACCATATAGTCTAGCTGCCCATTGGATAAAATTCAAATAATATTTATAGACATCATAATTTTTTATACATGAATACACGTGAATTTACATTGTGTAAAGATATGGTTATATTGTTGTTTTATAAATACTGTTCTTGCATAAGACATTAATTGTAATTTCACAAGATATAATGATTTTAAGCATAATTTATATACTTGTAGATTCCATCTGGAGCCCAGGTTACGGTACCATCTGCAGTAACAGTCACACGGTCTTTATCAACTTTACCGATGCTCTCACTTCCAGAATATGTCTATAAATAATAACAAAATAAAAAACTATTCACTATAATTTTCTTTGTCATATTGGCTACACTGCTATTACTTTGAAATTTATTTGTTGTGTTGTGCTTGCCTTTCTTTATTTCAATATGATCGTTTTATAATGTTTTTAAAAGGATTTTTTTTTATTTTCAGATAAAAATTCGTTCATTTCGCGTTAATCCCTTTATCTTAGCTTAACAGGCTGTAAACAGTAATTTTGTTTACCATTTTTTTAATTATTCGTTCGTATGAGTCGATGGGTTAATGTTTATTTAAGTCATTAAGTCATGCTGAATTCTTACAACTGTATACAAAGGTTTTTCTTAGTGGTCATTGATTCTTTGCAACGGAAATCTTATAATATAAACGTGAACCGCTTAAGCCTTAAAAACGAATAGCCAAAGAATCAGTATGCAAAATCCATGTCCTTGCATTGCGTTGTCTTAACGTTTTGCATTGTCTTATCGTCTGTTCATAACGCGACGAGATAATGGGTTAAAGCGTCTTGATGAAATGCATTGTTGTCTAAACGGAAAGATGCCCAAAGCATCGAGGCATTGCACTGAATAGACAACAGGATATAAAGGAGATGCGAGATGATGCGCTGAAGCGACAATATCTCACAATACTTACCTACATGCCGAAATGACAAAATTATAAACCGCAGGGAAAAAAAAGTGTCAAAACGATAGAAATGTGACACTACAAGACGATACACTGAAGCGATAAGACGATGCCACAACATGACGCTACGCAGCTCAGAAACGACGTAATACAAACGTGATGAGATGCGTTTGGACGATGCGTTTGGACGATGCGTTTAAGGGACAAGGCGATGCGCTGAAGAAAACAACAAGGCAATGAATCGATGCAATAGAGTAATGCGAGGGCATGATTTTCATTGTACCTTAGCTTCGGCGTATCGTGTTCCTTCTTCAATAAGGCATATCGTTTTCTCGTTCTAAATATGTTTTACGTCGCAAATTTGAAGAAAATATTACCGCAACGTAGCTCCATAATTTTCACGTCAATTTTAATTTTATTTTGTTAATTACAGGTAAATAAATCTAAGTTGCTTTACGGAAATGAAATGGTGAGACCCTACTATAAATATACCATTCGCCAATTGCATAAATTGTTATGTTGTTTATTAAAATTCCGGATTTATGACAATGTTATGATAGACGTTATTTTGCATGTACATGTATGAAAAATCCTGACCAGTACATTCGTTAAACCCATGTGTTTAATATTTAATCAGTTGGTTTACACATATTTATTTAACCTCGATTGCGACTTATATTAATCACTTTTGAGTCTGCTTCCTGGAACCAACTAGTATTGGTGTCATATGAAGAAACATAGTCGTGATCCGAGTAGGTATCAAATCCATGATCTCTGGGTTGATAGGCAGACACTTTAACCACTAGGCCACCGCGCCTCTTAATCACTTAAGTAGATAGATGTAGTACGTTTAAATCAACTATTGACTACTTTTATATGAAAACGGATTTGATTCTGTTGTTGTTTTTCGAAAAATCGTTACACCTTAAAAATTGTATTTTTCTACTTAAGGCTCATTAAAAACTTTCTCTTTACAATAAGATAAAATACATGTAAATATAAAAATAAATGTGTCCTTTCAGATAAAAAGTAAATACGTACCAATCCAATTACCAAAGGCGGGAACCAAATCTTACTTAATGGCAATTTCATATTAGTTGTGCCACCATACAAAGTCGGGTTCCACTTTATGACGTCATCTATCCAAGTAATATAGAAATATCCCATGACGCCAAACCGCTGTCCAGTTGTGTCAAACTCAACAACTGAAGCTAGCCTTAATGACACGTTTACCTCTACACTCTTCGACTGATCAAGTCTAGGTCTTATCGTTACATCATACCCAGATAAAAGATCCGAATGTAACTTTTTAAGATTAACCAAAGATACTCCTTCGTTCACTTTATCCGAAATTAAGCCTAAACCAAGATGTTCCTCCGATGATTCTGTAGTATTTGAGCTATTTTTCAACATTTCTTCATTCGCAGTTAACGCTAACGAAGTAGCCCGTTGTGACGTTGACGTTGCAGGTTGTGTAGTCGGCCCATCTTGTGAATCTACTGATATTGAAACACTTCTCTTGATGTTAAAAAAGCATATGACCATAATCCCCAGAATATAATGAAAACATTTAATATCCATCAGGATGCTATTAAGTACCTTATGATATTAATAGATTTATATAAATTTTTTTTTGCCTGATTCTGTTTGAATGTCTAGTGTGAAGTTAAGAATATTTATTCATAAAAACACTTCTGAAAGCTGAATACAAAGTATTATTGATTGTTAATTATACTGAACAATAATTTGATAATTAAAGTATTGACCGTAAATATTCGGCCATTAAATCACGTTTTATCGGGTTTTCGAGCTATATTATTTCCAATGTACACAAAGACAATATTGATTTTTAGCCGATGCTTTCATATCTGACTCAATAAATACAATTATAGCCCCAATTATAGTTCTATTAATATTTTTGTTTTGTTTTATTTTTTGTTGCAATGTTATTTCCCTGAAGGGTTGATTTTTTATGGCTTGTAATAGTATTGTTATTTCATTGTGAGTTTTGTGTCAGCCAGGTAAAACATTGATGGAATTGATAAAAGTGTTCTACTACCTTTGTGAGTCTCTCTGGGCATGTTTTATATAATTATAGTCATATAATATAGATTTGTTCTGTAAAAATAATGAAGAGCAAATGACAGATAATTGTCGCAAGCCAGGTTAGATTTTCCAGTCTGATGCACAAGCTCAAATGTATTTTTACAGAGTACATAAATAGAGTCATTAGTATCTTATTCAACATTTGCGTCATTTTGCGCCTAGGGACCCGGCACAGTGTTGGGATAGTGTAAAAAAGTAATTCTAGAAAAAAATATAGTTTATATATAATATGAAGACATAGGGGTTGAACTCGCCAAATCGGCAGAATACCACTAGCCAAGTTTAAGTCAAAATTGCAAAGTCATTTTTACGAAAATTATATTAAAGGAACTCCACTGAGGTTCATAAGCCTAAAACCATAAAATTTTAATTTCTCACATAGATCAACTGGTGCACCTAAAACGGAAATATATACAAAAGATAATTAAGATATATACCTCGAAATACACTGAAAATCGTATGTTTGTGTTATTCTCAGTCCGATTTGAGTGAAAAGCGTTTAAACGCTTTGCAATTTTAGGTCATTTTGACAATTAAAACAATTATTCTGGAAAAACGAACCGAGCTAATGATCTGAAATTTTGCACATAAATTGTTGGTATAGACCTACATCAGATAGAGTAATAATCTCAAAAAATATTTCCAATCCCGTCATGTCAAAAAACCTCAGTGGAGTCCCTTTAAGTTATATATCAATTTGCTGCTAAATGACATCACTTGACTTGACAATAACATTATTGTTTTCACTTAAATCGTTTCTGAACAGCAAACCAATATTTTGGATGGAACATCGTTTTTTTTTTTTTTTTTTTCGTTTTATTCAGAAAATGAAATGTAGTTGTCAAGAAATAAATTCATGACTTACGGATGAATACGTAATTATTGGAAAACCGGCCACGCCTATAATAATTTTGGTTCCCGTTTCAAAATGCAACGTCATAAATAGCTAAGATCGGAACCAACGTCAAAAATAGTCCGACACTTCCATATATTTTACCGTATTTGTCACTAACTTAATACGGAAATTTCTATCCGTTGAAGCGTATTTGCGCTTCAAGATTTGCGTTTATTTAGGGGAGAAAATGAATAGGTAGATAATAAATACATGTATTGAAAGTTGTGGTAGAATGTAGTTTGAGTAATATGCCTGCAAGAATCAGTCACCTTTTTACATTCAATAACATTGATCAGGGAACGAATTGACATAATTTTATATTGGAAGTATTGAAGTCTTCCTTTCAATGTTTGTCTATCTAACAAATTGCATTTTTGCGCTGATGAACAGATAGTAATCTTTTAAATCTCTCTTTTACATTTAAATAGTATGTAAATGTTTCCTGTTTGTTTCTAAATATTTTATTTATTTTTGCTACTTAAAAAACATTTTCAGTTTGAAATTATCATGTAAATTTTTGTATATATTTCTTTTTTGGTCCATGCCAATCATATAGATACACGTCAACATTGATATTTTTATGACATTTACATGTATATTGTTCTGCATCAGGACATGACATTTGAGACCTTTAGAGGGCCTTCAAGCAAAAAGGGGCTTTATGTGAAATAAAAACATAATAATTGTATTCTCGGGGTAAAATGTGCACTGGATATATTAACAAGTTTATGCCATAACTTGATTATGAATAAGTAATAATGCTGGGTAAGTAGGAACATGTTTGTTGTATGTAGAAAAAAAATACAATTACACATTATCTGTTTATTTCATAATTACAATACGGTATCCTATATCCTATGACTCTATCACTCACTTAGTTTTTCCTTCAACAGCCATTGTTTTAACCACTTTCAATCTTTTTTATTTGTTAGGATCTTTTTTCCCTTTCTTTTTTTTTGGAAGGTTGGGGGGAGCGTGCGTGCGTGCGATCGCGCCCTCGTGTGTGTATTTTGTCATTTTTCCTACTTTCGTCACACCCTTTCAAAATGCCCTATTGAAACTTTTGAAACAGTCGCCCTGTATAATATTAATAAAAAATCAATACAAAAAATAGACTTATTCTACCATCGGCCTTATTAACTTTCTTCTTTCATGATATTGATTTTTTCAATTGTACAATGAATTCAATAGTGCCAAACAAGCAACAATCAAATAACAACAACAAACACATGAAAACATTGAAAATATGCAGCATTTCCCAACAAAATTCATCACAAATAGACACATGAAAGCACAGCATTCAAAATAAACATCGACGTGAACGATACCAAAGATTTGTTTAAAGCCTATACTGTATTTCATAAGCCTTATTTTTCAATAATATCTGATACAGTATAATGGCTAAAACTGTTATTCATTGTACGCAATATAATATATGATATATAATTACAGCATAAGAATATGTTTATCTGCAATATTACAAGATTGTTTACATTAACTTTGGAGAATGTCTATAACAATGACTCGTTCAGGTTAGTATTACTAAATCAAAAATATATGAACTGAAATAACTGAAAAATTATACAGGGTAGAGTTATCATTCTTGTGCACTGCAAACCTCCTGAGTGAGATCTATCCACCTATGAAATTCATGTTGATATCTCAAAGGCTTTTTGAGTTATGCTTTGGATAAGAAAATACTACATGCATTCCTTTATACAAATAAGTTGTCTGGTTTATAATGTGAGAAATGTTAAATATGTTAAATATGAGATAATTTCTCTCAAGTAGATCTGAGTTTTCAATATACATGTATTTATCGATTTGGACTTTCAGACGACCTTTGAGTTTTACAGATGTAGTGTCTTCACCAGATATGTAGATAATAAGCATGCATGTTTGATAATAATCATGCGTATTTGCGTTTCGAAGTGGTTATCCTCATACCCAACACTGAAGAAATAAAATTCAGAACATTTTGAGGAAAATCCTTTTAACTATACACAGTATGACTCTTTCAACACAGCTTCAAATGTCTTTAAAATGAATGACCTTTTCAAAAATATTTTCGAAATGTACTTTAGTGAAAACCAAAACAGCTTCCGGATTTGAAATAAGATATCCGGAGTTATCATATACACCATAAAAGAGTTATCATATTTATCAAAAGTTCCTCTTCAAATGCTTTTTGCGTAATTGATCAGTCATGCAACATCTTGATAGGAATACATGTAATATAATAATGTCCTTTACATTTAAAAATGCTCATAATAAGTATAATGTGGAACATCATTGGAAATTCTGTTGCAGCACACATTAAAAATTCAGTCCATGTTAATAAACAAAATATTGCATTAAACGTATATTTATAAACTTGAAGCTACCACCAGGAACCAAGGTTACGATGCCACCAGCGGTTGTAACACCACAGTCAATATCAACTTTACCAATGCTTTCACTTTCTTTCACCATATGTCTGAAATTAGGACTTTAATCTAATTTAGTTTTTTTACAATTTAATCATTTTTTAATTTTATCTAAGCATGGTCGCTTAATATTGCAAGAACAGTTCTGTTTCTTTTTAAAGTAACTTTGATATTTTATTCTCGACTTCGACAAATGTGCTTTTGAAGCTTTGAAAAAAAAGTGACAACTTATGCGTACGTATGAATAAATTATTTAAAAGTTAGAAGACATAAAGAACCATGAAAATTCATATAAATGTCTCTTTATGAACAAAATGCATTTTCGATTGTATTGAATTGTTCAAAGTTTGTTTTTAAAGGATATAACATATTTGTTTTTAAATCGGCCTTAAGCTTTTCTAAAGGTTAATCATGATTATTTTTATAAACTGTTTCATATAATTGACAAATTAAAAGAATTAAGATATAAGATGAAATTTGCTGTCGATAAAATACATTAACAGTCAGGAAGCCCCTCGATAATTTTTATCTATCGGTCCGCTTTCTATATGTAAATTATAATCTTTTCATCGTTTTCCGATAATTTAAAAATAATGTAAACTTATGAAGTAATGATTTAATATATATAATATTGATAATGAAACCTAATTATTACAATTATATTCTCATTGGAAAAAATCTTTATGCATCATGCAATAACTTTTGAGTTTTCAGGAATAAAAACAATTTTCATGAAAAACTTGTTTGTGAATCTTTACCGGAAAAGGTTTACTAAATATTTATTCATTATTTCTTTCTTTCGGTCATAAAACTAAATCATAAGCTTTTTTAAAAGTAAGCATTCGTCTTATAGCTGACGGGACAAATGGAGAACATTATCTTCTTGGATCTATTTATCCAGGGTCTTAGTGACCTCATTCCGGTATTATCACCCTTGTTATTGAATGCAATGTTTTATTTTTAATGTTTCTTGTTCGAATTAGTTTTGATTGCGCTTTAAAAAATATGTGCATGTATGTTAATGAAAAAAACAATGTTGATTTACTGACGCCCAATTTGTTTTGCTTGAAAAAGTTTGCTATTATTCTGTGTTTGTTTTTATTCATATATCCCCAGTATATATACTTCCGTAATTAAGATACAGATACTGCACGCCATAGTTCCTAAAAGGACCATAAAATTATATTAATATTTTTGTAATTCTGTTACAGTTTCTAATAGGTTACTAATAAACAGCGAAGTGACTTATTGACGACGAAGCTAATCTATGTAATATGTTATTTGCATTTTTTTAAGACATATAATTATAGTGATTTAGTATTTTGTATGTAGGTCAAAATATTGTATAATTTAAATGTTGCCACTTTACGACAAATTATATCCCATTCAGCACTTTTTTTCAGGTGAAAAGCATCTAAAATTATCTTACTACGTTGTTAAAACATTATGAAACACATGTTTGCCATTTCTAAATATTCATTTTGATGCATAATTTTTCTTTAATCTGGAAAATTAATACTTGATGCTAGATTTTTTTCAACTTCCTTTGTTGCTCATCTAAGAAATGATTAATATATATTTATAGTTATATTGAACGAAGGACATATTTTGATAAGCAGATTCATTTAAAATTGAGATATTGAACAAGGCAGGAAAAATCATTCTCGCCGACAATTAAGATTGAACTTTTACTTAATAAATATTTGTGCTACAAGTCAATAGGTATTTATATAATTAATGATGGCAGTAACTGGTTCTTTAATGCTATTTTTTGCCATTAGGACAAAGTATGTGGTTTAAATGGCGCCACATACTATAATATTGTAAAACAGTTACTGATGGATCAATTGAAGTGCTTGGCAAAAGAAATGACTGAGGCCATATTGATGAACCTAGCTGGACCTCACATTGACAAATATTTAAGTAGGTGTTTGTAAAACAAGCCTTTTCAGTGGCGTTATAATTGATAAACAAATTACACTGCTGTTATTGTATTCTGTTCTAAAATCATTTGTGTTAAATTCCTATTATGTCAAAATCAATACGAAGAGGGGTAAAAAAACAAACAATTAAGGACATATAACTGGGAGATAATTGATTTCTCCGTGAATTGAGAAAAATATTTTCTGTATGTAACTAGTTTATCGCTATTGGATGAATAGATCAGAACAAAATTAACATAATCAGGGAGATAACATGATAATGCGTTATTATCGAATTTGGAAACAGACCACATAAACGTTTAATAATACAATACAATCATGATTTAATTAATAAAGTTTTACTTGTAAAAAGTAAATTTGTTAAATTAAGGACAAATGTTTAGTTATTTTGGACACATGTGAAAATATATTTAATTGGATTTCGTATAATTATATGTTTAAATTGATTTGGCAAATATAGGTAGTGACTGCTTAAATGTTTGTCGAAACTAAAATAAAGATATGGGAGTTAAATTGCTACACCAAATAGTGCGTTTTTTGTTCTTCACGGACATTTCTTTTGTAATCAGTAGCAGCGATTCATACGTAGTGTCCCCAGCGTCTATTTCGGTTTATAAAGGTTTATTGGACACGTTGTATACTGATTACGACATAAAGATAAGACCGCGTCTTAATCAGTCGGATACAGTGGAAGTCAACACGACATTTACACTTCAATCCATCATTGACTTTGACACGACAGGTCAGAGGATTGACGTTATGGGTTTCTTTACTGTTTCCTGGTACGATGAAGAAATGATATGGGACCCAAATGACTACAACGACACAAAGTATATCAAACTCCCGCTAAATACGATTGGGCCAAAACTAGGGAAAAAGTAAAGGGAAAAAAAATTTTCACCAAAACAAATTGGAACAATTTTCGTTAATACAAAACATCATCACAAAACCAAAAAATTTTAAAATTTTTCCCGGGGATGATAATCAAATTTAAAAAATTTTATTTTAAATTAAAAAGGTTTTTATACTATCAAAATTTTGCGTTGTTTATGTTTGATAAAACATTGCATAAATTTAGAGCATTTGATTGATTGAGCACTAAAGTAATATACAATTTGCTCACAGATGTCTACTATTGTTAAAGACTACAATATAAAACATGTTAACCAAGACACTTTTTACATTGCATTGCCATAGACAAATGAAATCATTTAATAGTTTCTATCTGATATTTTCGTTAGAATATAGTCTGTTTGTATAGCTTTTAATGCCATGCGATATGGTTTTATTGCGTGAGTATCCATAAAAGCAGACTACATTCTAACGTAAGTGATCAGCAAATTTCCAGCATTTTAAAAAAAAGAACTTATGGAATATATGGGCGAAATACTATTGTAAAATGCTAAAGGTATCTATTTAAAATATGCCATTTTTACTCAACAGACGTTTGAAAAAAGTGCAATCATTGGTGATTCTGCGATGGACTCCGTGGATATATCTTATGATGGTTTAGTTACTTGGATACCAGGTGGAATTTACAGGTATTTACACAATCGTATTGTTGACTTAAATCCATTGTCAGTTGTTTAAAGTTTCATAAGGTGAGTTGTAATTTATGTCAAGTTATATTGTAGTTTTTTTTAACTTCAAATGCCAAAAGGCCAGTGTAGCTAAATAATATGAAATATTTTAGTATTGTAATTGTATTTAAAACTTGTGAAAATATTACAAAAAGATTGTTCACTAAAATCATTTGTTTCTTTAATAGTATTATACATTTTTCATCGTTTACAGTCAATGATGTCAAAATTATCAAAATTTTAATAACTATTATTTAAACCAATTTTATATTCGTTGCTTATATTATAATCAATAATATGTTTTTGTTGTTGTTGTTGTTTTCAGTACTGCATGCAAAGTGTCTGTGAAGTATTACCCATTCGATGTTCAAACTTGTGAGCTAGTATACTTCGCATCAGACGAGATCACTTCCACGGTGCATCTAAACGGTCCATCAACAATTATACTCAATGATTATACGGACAACTCTGAATGGAAACTTCTCGGTGTAGCTGTATCAGTGACTGAAAAATATAAAACATATTATGTAAAACTTCAGTGTAAGATCCAAAGGCGTGCCGACTTTACTGTATATACTATGGTTCTCCCCCTAACCACTCTTGCTATAATCAATGTCTTTACGTTTCTTGTCCCAATCGAGTCTGGAGAAAAAGGTTCCCTTGCAATAACATTGTTTCTTGCTTATGGATTTTTTGTTACTATCACTAGAGATGCGTTGCCTCATAATTCCCTCCAGGTTTCCTACTATATAATCTACATCACCATCCTCCTGGCTCTTAGCATGTTCACTGTCATATACGTCATTCTTGAGGCTAAAATATACTCCAGGCTTGGAACAACTGAGTTTCGTATTTGCAGGACAAGCAAGGTCAAAGCTATACTAACGGATATTCAAATTGAGAAAGATACCATGTCGCTGTCTAAAATGGAATCTTCCAAGGACACTGTCACATGGGCCGAAATGATGAGTAAATTAGATATTGTCTTTTGCTGCTCCAGTTTTGTTTTTGTTGTTTTATTCAGTAGTGTTCTTTGGAGTGTCGTTTATGTTGGAGATTGAAAGGAAAACATGTGTCCAACCCTTAGTACTAGTATCTTTATACGCTTATAACACAGGGAGAAGGCAGATATTTTCTTAAGAACTCTTTTTGTGTGAATTATAATTAAATCACATCAAACTGTAAATATTTAATTAAGTTCTTATAGTATATGTATATATGTATTCGAAAAATTCATTTTAGCTTCGATGGTTCTTACGCATCGTATCAACTATAGAGCTGTGGGGCATAATCCTTCTCTCTAAAGACGAAAAGGTTGTAGTCGCTATAAGAGAATTAGTCTTTCCGAGACAGGTAGATGGCATGAAAAAGGTTTCTCGCCGGTGTAAGGGAGCGTGGACGGTAACTTACACTTTCTAGTACCGTCCATTACCAGGCTCAATAAAAACCGAGTATGCAACATTTTCATTTCAATTTTACCGTGATGGTCTTTCTTAAGGGATTCTGTTTTTCCCTATTTGAAAGAGATTGGCAACATTTGGCAAAAATGCAAGTTGAATCAATATTGTAAAAAGACAGTATTATTGTTTATTCTAAGATAAAAATGTTTGTAAAAGAAGCACACGCTTTCAGGAAAGGGCGATTCTGCATGTAAGATATCTTTCAGCTGACACAAGAGGCAGTTGAATGCTAAACATTTCAATGCTAAGAAACATGCTCCAAACATTTAGAAGAAGTACGGAAATATTTTTGTAACTGACAAACATATTTATTTTGTAACGTTTTGTTTCCTATTTGTCCGGTTTTCCTTATATGGTATTGTTTACTGCGGAAATAGCTTACAAATATTCTGACCATTTACGAATATATTCACTGCGAATTTTACACTTTCATGTATATATCTGTAATAAACCATAGGGATCTTATACTAAATAAAGGGTTTAAGAGACTACTCTCACTCGAATGTTAAATTTTGACCTGTTGATTATCTAGCAGTTATGAACTTGATAATTTATATAATGTTTTATGTAAAATATGTTTGTGTATAATTATATGACGAGAAACTATGTAGTTTAAGTCAATAAAATGTTCTTCTTCTTTGTGGCTTGTTTACATTTATTTCAAAGATCAGTAGAAGAACAAAAAAGATAGTTGAGATAAATAAGAGACGTATAACGGTACACAAAGAAATACGAAAAACAAAACAAAAAGGAACAAGAACAAAACAACAACAAAGTACAGTGGACAGTGTGTACATTTTATGACTTTATACGATAGAACGCCGTTATTAAATAAGCCATAAAGTCATAAATATATTTATCTTTTTTATTTCATTGTTTTTTTTTTATTTAAAAACTAACTTTAATTGAAAACATTTAAATATTTACTCTTTAGTGCATGATATTAGTATTACGCCATATTGAGCACTATATATGCACTTTTGATGTTGTTGATCTAAGATATTTTATGCTAAAGAGTTATTATTGATATTGATAAAGAAACAATTGCAGTTCCTGGAAAACGGTTTGTTGATAGCAACACGGAAAATGGCAGCCAAAAAATTATCTACTCAAAGTGAGGAAATTCAAGATTTTCAAGAATTTTAATCTTAACTTTCTTCCATGCATACTGTGACCCAAATTTGACGTTCTGCTAAATCCTAGATTTCAGAGGTGAAGGTCAATAATGTTTATGTCTCACGGTCTATTTTTACAACTCGAGTGATTTGCTGCGCTTAATTAAGATGGAAATACGGCTGGTTAACATTAAAAATTGTATATGACATGGAAAAAATTGTGTGTTTTACATGATGCAATTTCAAGTTTATCTATGCTTTCCTCTATTTGATTGATATTGTTGCTTTAAATAAGCACACGCTTTCAGGAAAGGGCAATTCTGCATGTAAGATAAATTTCAGCTGACACAAGATGCAGTTGAGTGCTTAACATTTCATGCTTCAAACATTTAGAAGAGGTACGGACATATTTTTGGAACTGACATACATAATTTTTTTTTATTACGTTTTGTTTCCTATTTGGCGCTTGTTTACATTTCAAAGACCAATTAAAGAACAAAAAAAGTTAGTCGAGATAAATAAGAGACATATAACAAGCAATGAAGTACATCGATAGTGCAGTGGACAGTGTGTACATTTTATGACTTAATACGATAGAACGTCATTATTAAATAAGTAATAAATAAAATTATCTTTTTTATTTCAATGTTTATTTAATACTAATTCTAATTGAAAACATTTAAACAATTACTCTTTTGTGCACGATACAAGGATTTCGTCATATATAATACTATATATGCACTTTTGATATTGTTGATCGCTAAAAAGTTATTATTGTTATTGATAAAGGTTGGTTTAACAGCATACTAATGTTTGTGTTGTCTGGGATTGCAACACAGTGTTAGGCGTACAGCTCCAGTAACCTCGACATCAAAGATAGGATGTTGCACTTTTTCATTATCCCTCATGCACAGACTCAATAAAACCGAATATGTAATTTTGCAGTTCTAAATGCTTCCGAGGGAGCACTTATTTCCAGATAATCAATGTATTCTCTGAAGATGACGAGCTGACACGATATTAATGACGATAAACAAACAATTAAGATGCTTAAATAAAAAAGTGGAGTCTGACAAATAATATTTTAACATTGATTCACATATTCTTACAAGCATTTTGCAGCTGATATTACAAGAAAAGTCTCAAATTACTACTGATTTAACTACTAATTAAACTTTAAAGGGATTATATTTTCTTTTTATTTGCATTAAGTTTTCTTTAGTCAATATTGATTTTTTCATATGACGAAGCTATCCTGCTAGCTAACAGAACGTCGGTGGTTCTTATCAAATGCCTGCTAGTATGGTCTTCTTCCACTAGTAAAGCTGGAAAGTCGCTATATGATTTATGCTTCATTCGTGCGACGTAAAACCCAACTAAAGGAAGAAAGATAAAAAAAAAACGAATGAAATTTCTATAAGAATTTCCCATTCCGAAAATAAATTTTAACATTTTTTACAATTTTTGAAAGGATATTAGTTCAGCTATCTACTTATCATTCGTCATATATTTGATTTATTAATTGATTAATTGATAGCGGTTAACGTGAAATGTTTAATGGTTTAACAGTTTTTGTAAATATAGTATCGATCCAAGTTTATGTTATAATACAAAGCTTTTGGCCCTAATGAAGCTTTTCATTCTTGCTGACAATGAAAGGTTAAATCACTCTTTCATCACGTTCATAGAACGCTTTGAATAATATTTAGCCGTTTATTTAACACGAGATAATATTATACTAATATTTATTCAGTGAAATGTTTCAGCAGTTTAATACAAACTGATTGTCTTATAATATTGATGAAAAAAAATCCTAACGAACTCTGAATTTTAAGTGATTATTTAGATCGATGGTCAATGAATATAAAAGCTTCTTTTCGCATAAGTCTCAAAATAGTTTTTATTGTATTTTCCCCCGTTTAAGTTATAGTCTAAACATATACATATACAGTCTAACTTGCCCATGCGACCACGTGTATTAAGCGACTTTTGTCTTAAACGACCACTTTAAATTCCCCCCGATCATTTTCTCTCTATATCTTTAATGTATTAAGCGACTTTTGCTCAACGCGACCAGCGACCGCTAATTAGTCACCTAATTGACATTAATCTTTTAATTAAACGACCACTTTTACCTGTCAAGTAATTGTGTATTTAGAGAACGCCACTTCGTTATGTCACAAGTGTCAGCAATCAAAACACAACAATAAACGTGTGAAAAACTCTATTTCCCATACCGTTTAAGCGTATGCAAATGAAGTTAAGTATACGCGTGACGTGTATTATCCAATAATATCGGATAAACAATGCAACGCTCCGCCCATACTGAGATGTTGTATACGCTCCGCTTGTTGACATTTAGACTGCATTGAATTGACCTTGAACTTGATCAGCCATTAAATTAATCGTAACAAATAGATGTAGTTTGTTTATTTCAAATGAAAAAAAAATGCACAACAGAAAACATCTTCACTAATAGGGTTTTCGTGTTGGAGACAAGGAAAAACAACGGAGAAGTTAAAAAATTCTGGAAAAAAATGTCAAACATGTACGTAAGGGATCAAAACTGTTTTGTCAATAAATATCAGAACGTTATTTTTACATTTGCATCCGTTTAGATTGTCGGAGCGTACTTATTATTCAACATTTATATAAAAATGAAGTTGAAAAACAATCCCATCGAATAAAAAAGATGTCATTTATAAATTTTGACTTTCATATCATGTCTTAAGAGACCGTTTTATTAAGCGACCGTTTTTGGTGTTTCCCTTGCCGGGTCGCTTAATACACGTTTGACTGTATACACAAGTCTTTAACAAGGAATATGCTGTAAGTAATTACAATACTATTCTTATTGGTGCTGTTGAAGTTTATTTACTTTTTCCAAAATATCGTGTCTTTATCAATAAGTAAAATGTCATTGATAAATAAATGTACCTTATATTCATTAATGTAGTGTATATTCTAAAAATGTTCATCTATTAGGTTTTATCATCATTATTTTCGAACTGCTATTTAACCGATTACGATATCGCGCCACACTAGAGGGTCATGACCTTGAAAATAGATCAGGATAAAAAAAGGATACTTGGGTAACGTAAAGCATTCCTTTTACATTCTACATGTATATACTTATGAGACATGGTAGTTATTATCAACCATCAACATCGCCTACATTATACCTTTAAAGTAGCGTTTGTGTTTGCTTTTCTAAACGCAAATCAATGCAACAAAAACTGACAAAACTTGTAAAATAACCATCACAGAGAAATCATATGGAAAAAGAATGGAAACCAATTCAAATGCAGAACAATAACTTAATTATAGCTTTTAACGACCTTTACAAAATGTGAACTCTATTGACTTAGTATAGATAAGGTCAATAGTTTTGCATTTGTTCTGTGAAAATGTAAAGAATAAATTAATTGATATGAGTAAAAAGCTTTAACAAATTCAAATGTGTAATTCGTCTTTGTGATTAATATCCATGCAGCATACAAAGGTTAAAAGCTAAATTATTCAGATCTATAGAGAGATTTGCTTTCTGTATGTACTGCATCTCTCTTGTAGCTTGTTAGTTTGTAGGCTTTGTTCTGTAAAGATTTTGAAGAATTATTCCTCGTTACGAAAAACAAAACGTTTACAATGATTGCGTATGCTAAGACGTTGGTGTTTGTTGTATGCTTTCAGTTCAGAATGCGAGTATATCTAATGCAAACCGCAGTTGAGATAAGTCATTCTGCCGCTTCAATTACAATGTATAAAGACCTGTTAAAGGATTTATTTAATGGTTATGATACCAGAGTTAGACCTCGGATCAACCAATCATCTTCTGTTGAAGTTAACAGTTCGTTTACGCTCACTGCTATTGTTGAGTTTGATACCACTGGACAAACCATTGACATAATGGGTCATTTTGTCATCACTTGGATCGACGTGGTTCTCAGATGGGATCCTAAAGACTACGAACACACGCATTATATCTCAGTTAACTTAAAAGACATTTGGTTTCCAAAGATTGAGTTTTCAAAGGTAAAGTAAATGTTGGTATTTGTTTCTGTTTATTCCTGTGTCATGAAAATTTGATATTTTATGAGATACCAATTTTTGTTATTTGATTAAAAACTAATGTTTGAGCGAGTATCTGAGTATTTTCGAATCGTTTTGATATCTAAGACAAATATAGAATCTCGTTTTTTCTCAGATATGTCAGTCGTGATTATTTTGCGAAGCATTATTTCTATATAAAGTTGAAACATGTTATTCAGCCCTCAATAATAATAATAAATAAATAATAAAGACTTTATTTAAAGAGGCAACATAGTTAGGCAAGCCCAGTCTTCCCTATGAGCCTCTATGAGTCTATAGTTTTAATACATGTTATGAATAATATCATTTTACAAACTTTATAAACTTTTTTCTTATGTTATCAATTATACTTATTACAATACTTGGTATATCAAATACAAATATATCA